ATCAAAGCTACAAAGAGGTATCACCTCACACTGGTTAGAAAGGGCATCATCAGAAAATCTTCAAACAACAAATGCTGGAGAGGGTGTGGAGAAAAGAAAAACCCTCTTGCACTGTTGGTGGGAATGTAAATTGATACAGCCACTATGGAGAACAGTATGGAGGTTCCTTAAAAAACGAAAAATAGAATTACCATATGACCCAGCAATCCCACTGCTGGGCATATACCTAGAGAAAGCCATAATTCAAAAAGACACATGCACCCCAATGTTCATTGCAGCACTATTTACAATAGCCAGGTCATGGGTGCAACTTAAATGCCCATCGACAGATGAATGGATAAAGAAGAAGCGGTACATATACACAATGGAATATTACTCAGCCATAAAAAGGAACGGAACTGGGTCATTTGTAGAGACATGGATGGACTTAGAGACTGTCATACAGATTGAAGTAAGCTAGAAAGAGAAAAAACAAATATCGTATATTAACACATATATGTGGAATTTAGAAAAATGGTACAGATGAACTGGTTTGCAAGGCAGAAATGGAGACACAGATGTAGAGAACAAACGTATGGACACCAAGGGGGGAAGTGGGGGTGGGTGATGGGGTGGTGGGATGAATTGGGCGATTGGGATTGACATGTATACACTAATATGTATAAAAGAGATAACTAAAAAGAACCGGTTGTATAAAAATAAATAAATGCTGTGCTAATTGCAGCTTATTTAAAGCCTCTAGTCCTATAATTCTTTGAATTCTTTGAAACTGAAACAGGAGGAAAAAATAAATAAATAAAGGAAATCAAGTTCCTGGTGACTCTTTGCTGTCTTTAGTCCCATCTGCAAGGGAATTCCATTGGCTCGGCATCCTGTTTGGTGAGAAAAGCTTCTGGAGTGGCCCCACAGGAAGGACTGTTTATGATGAAATAAGTTTACACAACAGAGAAATTTAAAACATGCAATATATAAAACTATTATGTCTTACAAGAAGGAGAAGATATTATGTCAAAAATGAGCTTTTTCAAATAATGCTTAATATTTGTATGCCTGGTAACAAAAGTCAGAGAATAATAGTAAGGACATGACAAGAAAACCAGCTTCTTACTTTTAATATTCCCTTAAACCAACATTAAATCTAGGACCAAACCCTAACATTACATGATCTTTTCCCCTCTCATTCCTAAATAGAAATCATATGTGAGATATTTACCACAAAGTAAAGAAAGAGTTCTTCCATTTGCAATATCAGTATTATCATATAGCAGTCTCTTCTGTTCATATATGGGTTACACTTTGCTTCCCCCATTCCCAACTCACAGTGCTACTGAAATTCACTGAAAGGAAAACCACTGGTATAGGTCTTAGGCAAATCTGACTCTTTCTAGACAAATTTCTTCAAAATATAATCATGGGTATATTATATTCTGTACTTTTCATGAAAGCTGAAAGGGCAGTAAAATTCTTAACCTATCTGAAACAGGCCACAAGCCTGCCAATATTAAAAAGCCCACAGAAACTATTCAAGAATTTGAGTTTGATACTAGACAAGGCAAGAGAACCAGTGTGTCTGTGTTTTCATATCAACCTAACACCCCTGCAGGACAAGAGTCTCCCCGCTGTCCTCACCTCACTCACTCATCCTCAGGCACTCTACCTATACTATTATGCTCCTGCCACAGTGGCCTTCATACTATTGCTGAACATGGAGTCACCTACTCGGGGCCTTCTAGCCCTGGATTTTCAGGGTTAAATTCCCACCTCGCTCAAGTGCTCCATAAAATCTTACCTTCTCAATGACCACCCTATTTAGAATTACAAACTGTGTCTCCAGAACTCCTCAACACCTACCTTTCCTGCTTTTTCCCAGAGTACTTACCACTTTCTGGCAACTGTATGATTTATTTCCCTTATTAGAAACCCCGCAAGGCAGGAATTTGGGGGTATTTTATTCTTTGATGAATCAGCACCTACTACACACAGCAGGCACTCAAATATTTGGTGAATGATTAATAAAACTTCAATTCTTCTATGGCACAGTAATCTCTGGGATTAATACAACAGCCCACTACTCTCTACAGCCCCAGTAACCCCCAAGTATACACCTCATTCAAATGATCTGCTTGGATGCCCACTGCCTATGGATTCTGATTCACAGAGTCTAACATGTAGTGAGATACTCAATGTTTGTGGAATTAATGAAATTCAATGTTCTGGACATATGAAATTAAGTTTCTCTTAAGGTAGGTGACTTCTATTATAAAATCACACTCAGATAATTAATTGCAGATACCTCTTTTTTAAAGGTCACCTTAAGGCATAGTCAAAAGGCTACTGTCTGGTTCCACCTTTTTTCTTCAAGGACAATGAAAAGATGCATTAAATGATGTCATAGGGCTTCCCTGGTGGCGCAGTGGTTGAGAGTCTGCCTGCCAATGCAGGGGACACGGGTTCGTGCCCCGGTCCGGGAAGATCCCACATGCCACACAGCGGTTGGGCCCATGAGCCGTGGCCACTGATCCTGTGCGTCCGGAGCCTGTGCTCCGCAACGGGAGAGGCCGCAACAGTGAGAGGCCCGCGTAGCGCAAAAAAAAAACAAAAAATGATGTCATAAAAATAAGCATTGCCTTAACCCACTCAAATCTAAAAGAAATCAGGCCAAATTTAAATAGGATCAGGTAGCAGGCTTTATGAGAAATGGTTAGATTTTTATTATCCTCTATTCTGGGAGAGAAACAACATAACCAGCAGAAGTCTGTCACACTAATTAAAAGTTTTAGGGACTAATTTTAAAATATATTATCTAAAGGCTGGTAGTGGCAAGTTTTAAAAATGGCCACAAATTCTTTGACCTGCCTCCCATTTGCGGTGGAGTCTGATTCCCCATGCCCTGCAATCTGGGCTGGCCTTGGTGGCTTGCTTGTTAACAACAGATCACAGAAGGTCATGGGGTTTCAGCAGGTTCTTTGGGAATGCTTGCTCTCTGCAGGGTCCTATCTGGATACCTGGTCTCCATGCTGTGAGGAGCCCACAACACAGGGAAAGGACACGTGAAGGTGCTCTGGTCAACAGCCTCAGCTGAGCGCAGCCTTCAAGTCACTCCAGCCCAAGTGATGTGTAAGTGAAGAAGCCTCCAGATGACCCCAGCCCCCAGCCATCAGAGTCTTCCCCAGCCGCCTGGGTCTTCCAAGTTCAAGCCCCAGACACTGTGGAGCAAAGACAAGCTATCCCTGCTGTGCCCTGACCGAATTCCTGACCCGCAGAATCTGTGAGCATAATAAGATGGCTGTTGTTTCACACCACTAAGCTTAGGGGGTGGTTAGAGAGGCAATAGATAAACTGGAAAATGAGTGCTAACCCAAAGTCTATATCTAATTACCATATTTCATTTTCTGTCTACCAGTAGAGCCTAGATTTCATTATTTAGCACAGATAAGTCATTTATCCAGAGGTCACGCATCACATGGATCCATGCTCTAGGATAGGGCAAAGAAATTATCTAAGGTAACTTTGAGAGCGGTTACCATTCGTTTTTCAGTCACCTAAATCTGTGTGCTGAATCAACAAGGCTGATGCACCTATGGCAAATAACTAGCTAAGTGCTAGCTATGTACATATATATATATATATATATATATAAAGCATAGGTACACATACATTTACATATATGAGCATATATGTACACTCAGGTCAAAGCATACTATTTCTAGTAATACCTTATATGAGAGAGAGAAGATAACGCTGTAGCTTTGTTAGCAGGGAGCTTCTCACAAGGCTCCATGTGGTGTTCACGACATTAATGAATTATATTCTTCCCCAAGGAATCAATTTATGAAACTAAAAATGATCAACACTTCCAAGAGATAACAAGGATGCATGTACCACAGATCAGAAAAAATATTAAGGGAAAATTCTGATTTAAGAAAACAGGCTTAAATCAATGAAAATGAGACATACTACTTTTTTCTTGTTTTTCAATGCAAACCAGATCAATCTTACCACAAAATATTATACAGCTGAAGAGTAGAGAGCTCAAGGCTGATAACATGAAATATTTCACTAGAGCAAAAGTGATTTTAGAAGCATTAAAAAAGCAAAAAGCAAATGTATGTCTCACACTCACAATGGAGATTCTTCTCAGAGTGAAAAAACAAAACAAAAAAACCCAATTGCTCCCCTTTATTATAACTTTTCTGTAGTCAACACTGCCCTCTAGTGATATAAAAGTCAAATATCAGAAAGCGAACATCACTGTTGGTTCACTTGAGTAATGTTTTAGTCAGAGAATCTAGTTTGGACTACAAATCCCAGCAAAGACAGAATAAATAGATTCAGGATGACCTTTATTATATACTGTACGTTAAATTAGAAACTCTTTTAAAAGGCATTAAATCAAGGACACTAATTCACGGAAACAGCAGCTTTTAAATACTATGGGAACAAAACATCGCTACACAGTGAATTACATCTTCACATACAATTATGCAATTCAAGAAAGACCCTGAAGGGCTTCTCTGGTGGCGCAGTGGTTGGGAGTCCGCCTGCCGATGCAGGGGACACAGGTTTGTGCCCCGGTCTGGGAGAATCCCACATGCCGCGGAGCGGCTGGGCCCGTGAGCCATGGCCGCTGGGCCTGCGCGTCCGGAGCCTGTGCTCCACAGCGGGAGAGGCCACAGCAGTGAGGGGCCTGCGTACCGCCAAAAAAAAGAAAGACCCTGAAGACTTATCACCTAAGATATGAGAATACGTAGGATAGTGAGATTAAAGCCTCACCATCTGCAGACAAGAAAATTCAACAGGAAATGAGCCAGGCTAGTTCTCATGGTGTGTGTAAACACACCGAAAAGTGTCCCTAGAAACCAAGACCTCACATACCTGCCAGCACTGCCCATTAGTGTACCTGACTCCTCCTTTTAGGAAAAAAGCTCAAGAAAAAGAGTACTTTTGATTGCTAAGTATTTACTGAGCCCAGGAAATTTTCCAAGAAAAGAAAGACTTACCAAGGGTGGTGCCATCCTGCCCCATGATGCACTTCATAGAAGTGATGATCTGCTCCACAACAGGTGGTGACAGTGATGTGGCGTACACTGCGCTATGAGAATGTGTCCGCAGATAGTCGATCAGCTCCTGGGGAGTTCACAGAAGCAAGTCATTAGAGGCAGTGCGTGAATTCACCAGCAGTGTCACTGCCTTCCTCCAAGGTGACAGAAGCCTCCTCCCTTCAATAGCACTGGAAGAGGCACATCTATCTGAGACACGAGATCAACCAATACGGTCAAAGCACACTGTCAGCAACAACTGGGTCAGACACATGGCAACATCCTTAGGCTTTGTTTTGTTTTGTTTTTTTGGCTGTGCTGCGCAGCTTGTGGGATCTTAGTTCCCAGACCAGGGATTGATCCTGCGCCATCAGCAGTGCAAGAGAGGAGTCCTGACCACTGGGCCACCAGGGAATTCTCTGTTTCGTTTTTTAAACATGCCACAACATGAAAGGAAGAAGAACTAGCTTTAAAGAAGACCTCTAAACTTAGAGAACATATCATTTAATGTTATAAACAGCTCTGCAATGCTAAATTCAACAAGAAAGCGTTCGAATTGCTGTTTAGATACAACTTACTTCTAAGTATTACAGAAAATATCATTTGCATCTCATCCCATGCCTGCAAAGCTCATCCTTACATTCCCGAATAAGAGACAGGTCTCTAATATCCATTTTAAAAACACTAAATGTCCTCTCCAGATAAACAGAGATTTATAAAATGATATAAATGTGGCAAAAGTTAAACAGAAATTCATTGGGTCTTTCATAAGGACACTAAAGCCATCTCACTGAATAAAAAAAAAAAAAAACTTGTCTGTCAGTCACAAAAATTTCAGAACAATCAGTTGTATATCTCTATTCTCTGATACCTTTTAACTTCACTAAGTCTTTATATAAAATGTGCACACAAAGAAGCTTATGTTCCAGAACCAAAACAGGAGACAGAAAATGCCGCCAGAAAACAGTGTAGATACTAAAAATTGTACAAAACCAAAAAAACCATAAATACACTGTACCTCAATGATCTCCCAGAGTATTATTTTTCTATCCTTCTGTTTAGCAACAAATCTTACCAAAAACCAATCAATTCTCCAAAGTGAGCCTGGTCCTTTTAAAAATGGAAGTAAATATCTATTGAACTTGACTAAAACCACTGATAATGGGGTTTCTCTAAAAGACAATGAATTATTAAGAGAAAGTCCATGCTTTAAGACTCCCAGCGTCAAATTTTAAAGAGGAATTTTTAAAGAGGAATTTAAGGACATTTATTTAAGGACATTTAAGCACCTACCATGTACTATGTACAAATACTTGACATACACTGTTTTTTTCCCTAATACTGGAGAGTTTTTTTAAAATAACAGTTTTATTGATATACAATTCACATACCATAGTATTCACTTTTTCAAACTGTATAATTTAGTGGCTTTCAGTATATTCACAGAGCTGTGCAACTTTCATTACTATCTAATTTTAGAACATTTTCATTACCTCAAAAAGAAACCTCATACCCATTAGCAGTCACTTTCCACTTCCCCCATCTCCTGAGGCCCTGGCAACCACTAACCTATTTCTGTCTCTATGACTTGCCTATTCTGGATATATCATATAAAAAAAAATACTTTAGCCTTTTGTGACTGACTTCTTTAATTTAACATAAGGCTTTCAAGGTTATTTCTACGTTATAGCATGGACATATATTATTTTTTAAACCTTAACTACAATCTTATAAGCCAGGCACATTTATCTCTGTTTTCCTGATAAGGAAATCGGAGGGTTAAATACTTTGCCCAAGGTCTCATGACGTTTGGGAAATACTCAAACCTAGGGCTCTGTCTCCATGGTTGAACCATTTCCACCATGCTACACTGATTCTCGAATACCCCAGAGTTCATTATGTAATTTTTGAACTGGAAAATACAATGCCTTGTTAGTACACCAGAGCTAGCAGAGTAATCTTTTTTCTTCCTGTCTTGATGCTCACCCAAGATGCATCTGAATCCAAGGGCAGGGGAAGAAACTGGTCTTCTATCCCCCACCAGTTCCCATGACATCCCCACTATGTTCGAAATAGTGAGCACAGCTCAAACCCAATAGAGACTATGGCAAACAGGCAGCACCGCTGTGTGTTCTTTCATACAAGAGGGTATTCTGTACTCAGACCAGGATGTAGTTTAGAACGAATAAGAAAACAACAAACAGTGAACAGAACCAGCTTATCAGAGTCACTCACCAGGCAGCTGAAGTGTGAAGTGGGCTGGCATTATACGCCTAAATCACAAACAAATTTAGGATCTCCACATCCAAGTTTGGGACTCTATCTGCTAAATGTGAGTAACCAAATTGAAATCTAGTAGCCAGTACCTTTATGAACCTTAACTGCTCGATTCTCAGGGCCCATTTACCTTCTTGCCTCCGATGTATCCTCCAGAAGCACCAAAGCTCTTTGTGAATGTTCCCATCATAATGTCCACATCCTCAGGATCCAGGCCAAAGTAATCCACCACACCTCGTCCTGTAGGGCCCAGAGCCCCAATGCTGTGAGCTTCATCTAGATACAAGTATGCCTTGTATTTCTTCTTAAGGGCAATCACTTCAGGAAGGCGAACAATAGATCCCTCCATGCTGGCAAAACAGGGTAAAAAATACACACACTGAGACTTCTTAACTCTCAAAAATTAGGAGTTGGACACTTTATTATTATTAATTTTTTAAGTTTACTGCCTTTTTAAATGGTCTGACAACTCTGCCTGTGGTTTTTTTTTTTTTAGCAGTTTTAACAATTCTTTATTTCCTTGGGTTCATACTAACTCAGGTGAACTTCCAGACAACTTTAGAATAAAAAAATTTTCCCCAGATATATTACACTTGTGGTCCATAATCTTCTCATTCAGTCTCAACAACACCATTGGAACCAAGTTGCAATCTATATTATTAGCCTTCTACATAAAACATGTAACAGTTCTTAACTTACTTTTCCAGTATATTTTATAAGGCAGTCCTGTTATTAACTCACTACTCCCTTCCAGCACTTATTAAATCTTTGTTCATTAATAGACTGCAATGGTTTTTTATCCCCCAAAGGAAAAAGAAAGGATTAATATTTATTGAACATCAACAAGGTGCCGAGTTCATTACACTAGTTTTCCATATTCAGAGTTACAACAAGATTTGGGAACAAGAAAAAATAAGATTACCCTCCAAAGGCTAAACTACAAAGCAGCACATGGTGAAGGAAATTAGCCAGCCTTAAAAGAAGCATACCTGTGGTTTTAAACTGGCAAAGAAAGACAATGCCATGGATAGGCAGATATCCAAAGGAAAGGAGACTGGATCTTTTAAAACAAACACCAGAATACAAGTGATCTTAATTCACCACAGAGGGACAGAGGTCACAGTAGATTCTTCTAAAGTTTGTAATTATAGGCAACATTAGACTTTGCATCACATTGCACGTGTAATTAAAATTACATGAAAAGAATAAAAAACATTAGGAGATGAGAGAATAAATGCAAGGGCTGCAAATAGGTAAGCAAAATAAAATATTTCTTAAAATTAAATGGCGTGTAATTTGTTCTGACATATTAGAAAACATATTCCAATTCTTGCCCCTATGTATAAACCCCCTCTACAAACAGTGGAAAAATAAAGGAGCCAAATGGAAAGGAGATCTGGAGATCATACAGCATGATGGAAAGAATAAAGAAGAGCCAGGTATTTTAACAAGTTAGAAACCCTGTCTCCTTAGTTCCAGAGGAGTCTAGATTAGTGTCCCCTTCAGCTTAAAACTTCTATGACTCCATGGCGCAAATCAGACATAAGAATAATAAAGCAGGATTACCTATATATTCCCTCCACAAGGATTAGAATTTTCTTCCAGGGCCTTCGTGTCCGAGGTTGACCATAAACAATGGCATCTTTCAACAACTTCTCTAGGCTTTGCATATCTATGGCACACAAAAAATAATTTCAGCACAAAGTATCTTCCTCTTTGCTAACTTTATTCCTAAAGTGCAAATATACATTTCTTATTCAGGAAGTGTGTCTCAGATAGCAAAGGACATTAACATAATTAGAACTGGGCAGAAAAAGATAGGACCAAATGGGTAAGCTACTGCTGGCTTGAATTAAAATCTCATCTAGAATGTAACAAGTGTTCAAAACCACAGAAACTCGACTAAATGAGTGTGGCACAAGTGATTCAGTTGGTTAGCATGCTTATGAAATGACCAGTGTATCATGTGAAATACCCTGCCATTCAGTTAGCTTTTTCTGTATTTATACAATCAACTGTATCTTTAATCATTCAGAAGTAAATGCATGAAGAAGGCTGAGCAAGAAAGTGTGAATGAAGTACTACAAATACATGCACCTCCTAAGAAGCAAAATATGGGAGAAAAACTTCAAAGTGTACACCCCATTTCCTTTCACCTAGGATATATTCAATAAAAGCCTGCTAAGTAGCTTTATCTTGGTAGTGGGTTGAATATACACCAGTCTGGGCAAGCATGAATCTATGTGTTAGCAAGCTTGGCCATCAGTTGAGACTGTTCCATGTCTGACTTGACCAGCTGCCTGTCCACGACCAAGTTCTTCTGGCTCTGTTGGTCATTAAGGTGGTTAACAGGCCCAGGAAACACTTGGCTAGTACTACCACTAATGAGGAGCATAATTTTCCTGTTAAAGACAAATGCTTTGAAGACCACTGCTACCACCACTACAGACTGCATACTTAAAATATCTGCCCTGAAACAATGCCCCTACGAACCCCCCGCCCAAAAATCTATGCAACATTAAGTCTAGGTTGTGTTTACCAGGGGTGGGAGGCATCCCATAAATCTGATTTTATATTCTTTACTGTTCACCACTGAAGGAAAGGGTTACAAACTTACATGAATTTGCTCTCTTCATAAAAGAAGAGAGCAAACTGGCAGAAAAGAGAAATAAGATAATAAGAACACATACTACAAACACAAAATGGCCAAAAGCTGTGACTGTGTTTACACCTTTGGTTATTCGTAACAAAACAATCTATCTGCTATCTAACCTAGAGATAGGAGATGCTCCCACAAAGTAAAAAGTCTCATCTGAAGCCACTAGTCTTGCTGCAGAGGGCGACATGTGGCAAACAGCAGGAGACAAGTAAAAATGGACTCATTGTTTCAGTTTCCTCTGTTTATATACAGAAGGGAAGGGAAAAATAAACACTGATTCAAAATTTTAGATGAAAGGAAATATCTATGGAATGCTTGACCATATTATCTACTCAGGAAAAAAAAATTCAATACCTCTCTCATAGTATACTCTCCAAATCCCATGTAAACTAAAGATTTAGATAAAAATGGGGAAGGCCATTACACAAAATCCAAACAAAAGTCTTAAGACAATAAATGTGACAACATAAACATTTTAATAAGTCTGCACAGCAAGACACTAAAAATAAAGTTAAAAATAAAAAGTATTGCAACATAAAGGGCTCTTATAATCAGTAAAAAGAGAAACAGTTTGGGGCTTCCCTGGTAGCACAGTGGTTGAGAGTCCGCCTGCCGATGCGGGGGACATGGGTTCGTGCCCTGGTCCGGGAAGATCCCACGTGCCGCGGAGCGGCTGGGCCCGTGAGCCATGGCCTCTGAGCCTGTGCGTCCGGAGCCTGTGCTCCGCAACAGGAGAGGCCACAACAGTGAGAGGCCCACGTACCACAAAAAAAAAAAAAAAAAGTTGCTCAACACTTAATAATCAAAGCAATAAAAATTAATATGTTATTGGACTTATTAGATTAGAGAAGATTTTAAATGATGCATAATGGCCTATGTTGGCCTGTGAGTAGAAACAGTCACTGTTTTTGAGTTGAGTTGTTGTGTAAAAATTTGTACCATATTTGGAGGCAATCTGGAAAAGCATAGCAAATTTATACCATTTTAACCATGCATTCTAAAGACTGCTGGGAATTTATCCTAAGGTACTAACCAGACCAGTGAGCAAAAATGTGAATGTTAAGTAGTACTGTTTCTAGCAGAAAAATTCAGAAACAACCTGGATGTTCAAACTCAGGGACGGACTGAATGAGGGCACTGCCTGCCACCCTGGCATTACGGGAGGAGGACAGTCACACGTACTCCAAAGTTCCCGATGTGTTGCAAGAAAACAGCAAGTCACACGACAGTGTTTAATAAATCCCATTTACATAAAACAAAATACTGTATATATCTTTCTCACTGTAAAACATTTTAGACAAAACAAAGACAAAAGGAAGAAAGTTATTACCATCCATAAACCTCCATCCAGAGGCACAGACCTAACATTTGGGCGTATATTCTTTTAGCGTTTTGTCTATATATGTACACAGTCTGGTAAATGATGATACTGAACAGCTTGGTAATCTTTCCTCTCTACATGAGGGTTTTAACTTGGAAAGTTATGCATTTTTATTGTGATTATTTTAATAATGCACAAAGATATCTCCATTTAGAGAGAAAGGTCTGGCTTAGTCCCACTCTTCTCCGTGCTTATACAGCACCTGTTCATATCTGCATTTCAGTATTCATCTGTTGTATTCTAACTACTGGTTTGTCTATAGTCTCTTTAGCAACCAGTCAGAGATCCTTGAGATCAGGGAGCTTGCTTTATTCACCTTAATACCCCGAATGTTATGACAAGACATACCACAGGCATCTAGCAAATGCATACTAAACAAGTGACTTGTAAACAAGGAAGATGAAAAAGTTCAAAGTAAAAAAAAAAGAACAATGTTTTTTTTTCAATGTTTTTACTTTGTACCAAAAGGCTTCCTTCAGCCTTTATTTTTATTCCAATGAGAAAGATAATAACTTTTAAAAGACTGGACCAGAAAGACATTTTAAATGTTGCTACTTCAGTTTCACTTATATTTCCTATTAATGTAATTAATGTTACCACTGCCACTAACCCAAAGAATATTACACACTAAAGCCAGCAGTAAATTCCATAACAAACTCACTGTTGTGCTTGAAGACTCGAATGGTTGCTCCTGAGAGTCTGGCTCCTAGAACCAATGATGCATGGTTCAGTTCATCACTCAGAATCAGGCAACCCTGCAAAACCACAAGCACAGGAAGGTAAGAAGCTGGGGGGAAAGGTTTAGTTAGCCAAACCACAAAATGCTAAAATCATTAATAATTATATCTTATTAAGGAAAGCCTGCACAATGGCAAAGTTATCAATTTGCTCTGAAATCTTTGTTTATATTATTATATTAATATTATATATGATATTGATATTATATTTATTAGTTTATTATATTATAATAAAATATTATATAAATCATTATTACTTTTTACATGCTATAACTTTTTCCATCCTTTTACTTTTAACCTGTGTCTTTAATTTTTTTTTTTTTTTTTTTTTAATTTTGGCCATGCCGTGTAGCTTGCAGGATCTTAGTTTACCCAAATAGGGATTGAACCTGGGCTCACAGCAGTGAAAGCACTGAGTCCTAATCACTGGACCAGGGAATTCCTTGTGTCTTTAAATTTAAAGTAGGTCTCTGGTGGAAGCCTATTTAATTTTATCTAGTCTGACAATCTCTATCTTCTAATTGTAATATATAAACCATTCATATTTAATATGATATCAATATAGTTGTGTTTAAATCTCTTCTCTTGCTTTTTGTTTTCTATCTGTCCCACCTATTCCTTGAGGAACCATATATGTATGTTAACGTAGTCCAAGTACCTCATTTCAAAAAGGAAAATTTGAGGCTCAGAAAGGTTGTGACATGCTCATGGTCACACAGCTAAATCTGACCATATAACCAACCAAAAAAATCTCAGGTCTTCTGCTCATTAATACACTGATTTTTCAATATACCATGCCTAGATATCAATGTTAAAATGAGATGTGTAGGGCCAGCCCTTGAGGGCCCTTTCAAGTTGATAGTGCCAATCTGTTAAAATGTGATTTACAAGGTCTCTTATCTTTTATCTCTTCCACTGTCCCCTCACAAACTCTACCCACAGAAAATAAGATACATACATATATATTACTTTTAACTTATTATTTACCTATACTATTACTTTTAACCTATATTATTACCTATATTATACATATATGTATTATATATATATACACAGATAATTGGCCCATATATCTCTGAACAACATGCATTACCATAAGAACAAGTATTAGGGACCTATATATTTTCATATTTTTCTATTACAAAAAAACCACCTGATAAATAATTTCCAAACTAAACACCCTTTCTTCCATAATTTTAGTCTTTTATGAGAATTTATTTATGAGAATCCCTTTAAAACTGTATGAAACGAAGAAGGCAAGAGTCATCTAATGGAAGGAGAAAAGATCATGGGTTCCAGAGAAAAAGCTTCAACTGATAAAAGTCTCCATGGGATACACTTATACACAAATTATATAAAATTTTATGATAGAAATATCTTTGGGTAAACTATGTTTAAAGTTTACAAGAGCTTCTGGCTTGCCTGAATGCCTTAAAAAACAGAAGAAGATATATATACGAGGGAGTTTTCATAAATGACAGACTAAATCTTACTTTGCTAACAAGAGCAGGAATGTTCATTGAGTTTGTTGCAAATCCCATGCCATATGTCATAGCAGCTTCCACTCCCAAGAAACTTGCCACAAGCTTCTCTAGCTCTTCATGCTTGTCCAGGTTTCCTGTGTGAAGAAGTTAATGAAGTCAATACCACCAAACCCCAAATCTAAGAATTACTCATTACTTTATAAAAAGGAATCATAGTCTATGTGTTATAACCTTTTCAGACTAAGGTCTATGAAGGAGTCAGTATTACGGAGAGTAAAGGCTCATAAAGAATACAATAGTTGAATAAAATCCGATGCAGCACCTGTGGTGGCATTTCTATAAAAAGCGTTGCCAACAATTTCTCCCATTCCTGTTCACACTTGCTGGTTCCAAGTCTATGCCTTAAGGGGACTGGCAGCATCTGCTTTTATACATTTGAAGTCAGCTGCCGTGTAAAATAGTCTAACTAGCCTGGTGTAAAGACAGATCATGTGGACAGGGAGGGGCTCTGGAGGATGAGGGACTATGGAAGGAAGGGGCAGGGCTCACCACTCAGCTGAGGCGCCAGACATGTTAGTGACACTATCTTGGATACTCTATCGTCAGTCATAATGCTCCACCCAACTCCACATGGAGCCGAGATAAAATGTCAAGTCCTTTCCAAATTACAGGATCACAAGCAAATAAGTACATGTTTCTGTTTTAAGCCACTAAGTTTTGGAGTGATCTGTTATGTAGCAAAAGCCAAGTTAAAAAACACCTTCCCTCACTTTGTATTATGATTTTACATCAAATGCTCAAATTTTACATCAAGTGCTCAAATCCTTAAGGACCGAACAACACTGATTAATGATAATGGCTGCATGCAGAGAGAAAAGCAGCAGAGAAAGAAGACTGCTGAACTTGGATACTATGTGTCCTTAAAGCTTAAGCAAGTCATTTATCCTCTCCGGGCCTGTTTCTTATCTGTTAAATACCAATAATAATATTTGTTCTATCTACCCCATGACATTGTTGTAAAGATCAGAAGGGATAAGATGTTCGAGAAATTTATACAATATAAAGCGCCGTAAAGACATAAGGTGGGCTTCCCTGGTGGCGCAGTGGTTAAGAATCCGCCTGCCAGTGCAGGGGACAGGGGTTCAAGCCCTGGCCCGGGAACATCCCACATGCCGCGGAGCAACTAAGCCCGTGCACCACAACTACTGAGCCTGCGCTCTAGACCCCGTGAGCCACAACTACTGAGCCCATGCGCCACAACTACTGAAGCCCACGCACCTAGAGCCTGTGCTCCACCACGAGAAGCCACTGTAGCGAGAAGCCCACACACCGCAGCGAAGAGTAGCCCCCGCTCACCACAACTAGAGCAAGCTCGCGCACAGCAACGAAGACCCAATGCAGCCAAAAATAAATAAATAAAAATTAAAAAGTATCCTTTTAAAAAAGATGTAAGGTATGATTACTCTATGTCGTCACTGCACAATGCTCCCTTAACCACATCACTGGGGATAGACCCATGTGAAATAATAATGAATTGTTGCTTTAATCTACTAAGTTTTGGGGTGATTCACAGTAATAAACATCCAGAAAGTTGCCTTATAACTTTTATGGTTATCAGTTCTCTTGAACAAAATGCAAAAATTAGGAATCCTCCTTTGAACTTAAATAAATCTCTTTGTAGAAATCTGTTCACTTTCACATTTTATAGGCTTGTAATAATAATAAAAGTTAATGTTTATTGAGGGTTTACCATGTTACAAGCACTTTACATGAATTAGCTTATTTAATTCTTGAAACACCTCTATAGTGTAGGAATTATTATTAGCCCCAATTTACCAGTATGGAAGCAGGTTAATGCTCATATGCCCATGAGCTCAGTACTGGTAAGTAGTACTCTCAATCACTATCATTTGCAAAAGCCAATAAAGTCAACATTAAAGTTATAAATGAAACAAATACTTAATGGAACTTTTCTAGAGATGTTCTGTAAGTATAACATAATGGAAAAGATAAATATATCTCAAAACACACTGAAAGCATTAAAATCATCCATCACTTCAGAAAAATAAAGCATTCTTTTTACCTGATCTAAACTACATGGGAAAGTATGTATTTGGATGCTCTATACAGTATTCTAGCTCTATCTCAGTATTATTCCCTCCTGAGTAAAAAAGTTAAGAATAAGAACATCAGCTGGCCAAACAGAGCCTACACTTACCAATTTCCTGCCGAGTGCTGCACACTCCAACTCCATATTCCTCCAGGACTTTGGCAGCTGCCTCTTGACAGGGTCCAGTATTCCGTGCAAACCCAAGATAGTTGTAGGAACCCATGTTTATAACATCTTTAATTACATTCCCTGTGTACCTGTATTTCAATAGCATAAAAGTTCATGAAACTCAAAAGCAAATCAAATACATGTGATAATAAACTTATTGATAATACAAAAGGAAGCACCATCTATAGGAAGTAGAGAGAATATGGTCTAGATGAAAAGCAACTCAAACTCACTACCAATTAGGAAGACGGAAGTTAAAACAAAATACCAGTTTTTACTTATCAATAGGGATGTTTAAAAACTGACCATATCATGGGAATTCCCTGGCAGTCCAATGGTTAGAACTCGGCGCTTTCACTTCTGTGGCCCTGGTTCAATCCCTGGTCAGGGAACTAAGATCCTGCAAGCCATGAGGCAAAGCCAAAAAACATTTTTAAAATTTTTTTAAAATAAATAAATAAAAATAAAAACTGACTACATCCAGCGTTGGCCAGGACACTCTCATACGCTGTAGATAAGAATATCAGTCAGTACCTTTCTTTGGAGGGCAGTTTGACAGTACTTCTCTATTAAAAGATATACATATCTTTGACTCAGCAATTCCTACACACATATAAAAGGATATACGCTTAAGGATCCTTTAAGAGTCACTACACAATTTGTCTACTGTGTCCCTTTCCCAGGCACACAGACCAGTGACTTTCCACATGGTGGAAGCTCAGTCAGCCTGGGACCCCGAGTGAGGACAACATGGTTCAGAGGCTCCACCGATCTAAGATGGACATGAAGTAGGGACAAGAAATAAACTGCTTCTGTCTCAACGCTGAGGTTTTGGGGGTTTTTAACACAGGATGACGTAGCCCAATCTACTCTACATTATATGTATCTATACTGTAGAACACTAAGCAGCCACTACAAATAGTGAGCCTGCTGTGAACGTACACAAGAAGGATGCTGTTACCGGTATGTTAGCAAGTAGAAAAAGCGAGATATAAAATAATTTCCATAGTATGATCCCATTTTTGTAAATCAAAAACTACCTGTGTGCAACCCCAGTAGTACAATATATATATATACACGCCATAGAAAACATATGGAGGAATAATATACAATAAACTGATAACAATGGTCACCTCTGGGAAGTGAGGATTTGTGGCGAAGTGGATTTGCAAAAGGATAGTGGTTAGCTGTCATAGGGAACCTTCAGTTTATTTGTATTACTTGTCTTTTTTTAAAAATAATGACCATACAACCATGTAATGCCTGTACAATATGAACAAAACAAAATCTTACGAATATAAAAAGTTTTCTAAACAATTCAATCCATTTAAGTAAAAATACTCCTTGAATCATTTGAGAAATCAAAATATCCATAAATAAATTCAGATAACTGATTCTGGTAAATGGCATAACAGAAAGGATGTTTTTTCTTTGTGTGAGTTTTTTTAATAAGTCAAATTTTGTTTTCAACTATAATCCAACACAGTGACAAATGTAGTAGCAAAATGCATTTAAAAAATCTCAGGACTTTCCTGGTGGCACAGTGGTTAAGAATCCGCCTGCCAATGCAGGGGACACGGGTTCAAGCCCTGGTCCGGGAAGATTCCACATGACGCGGAGCAACTAAGCCCGTGCACCACAACTACTGAGCCTGCACTCTAGAGCCCGTGAGCCACAACTACTGAGCCCTCGCGCCACAACTACTGAAGCCACCTAGAGCCCATGCTCCGCAACAAGAGAAGCCACCACAGTGAGAAGCCTGCGCACTGCAGCAAAGAGTAGCGACCGCTCACCGCAACCAGAGAAAGCCCGCGTGCAAAAACGAAGACCCAACGCAGCCAAAATTAAATAAATACATAAATTTATTTTTTTAAAAAAATCTCAGTAACAATGAACAATATGAAAGGAAACTAATCATGCTGTATTGTACTCTCAGCTTCCACTCCTATTTTGACAGAATATTCAAATTGCAATACAACATCTTCTGAAGTGAAGAAATTCTTTTTTTTGTTGTCAAGAAACAATTTCCCAACCGAGACTCACTTGAACGACCAGTTGTAATCATGAGACTGTCTCTCCATGATGTCCACCCTGGCCCCAGGCACACTGCAGATGGGCCGATTCCAGTTGTCTCTAATCCTCATGTAGAGGTTCCTTGTATAGAAGTTTTCGAAATCCTGATACAATGACACAAAGTCCTGCCAAAAAATGGTGAAAATACTATAAATTAAACTGAGTTCCTTTGAAAAGTTTTACAACTTCCCTTTTCGTAATGCAAGAGCACTTTAAGACGTCAATTATACAGAATTAACTGATATGGAAAACATTGGAAAGGCATCAATTCCTTATGTTATTTTTAAACAACTCAATCAGGTAAAATTCACTTAGCTTTGACCATTGGGCTATAAGAAATGGTTGCAAGTAACTATCAGACAGCTCAAAAGTAGAGCCAAAGAATTTAACTTAGTAAAGCAGGCCTCATAAAAATAAACCTGGTTTGTACAATTCTGTCATGAAATGGTTTTCCTTCCTAAAAACCTTAAAAACATGTCTTCTGCCCCGCCCCCACCAGTAATATATTAGGGGAAATGCCATAAAAACCCCTATAATTTCAGTTTCAACCAAGAAAAATAATTCCAAAATTAAGATTTCATCCTCTGCATATTTTCAAGGATCAAAATGAAACAAATCCAAAGAAAAATTATAAACAAGAAACACTAAAAGGTAGGTTATAGAAAGACACCTACTTGAGGTTTCTTTCCTTGGATGGGCGTTTTTAAAAAGTCTCAAAATGGGACTTCCCTGGTGGCGCAGTGGTTAAGAATCCGCCTGCCAATGCAGGGGACACGGGTTCAATCCCTGGTCCGGGAAGATCCCACATACTGCGGAGCAACTAAGCCCGTGTGCCACAACTACTGAGCCTGCGCTCTAGAGCCCATGAACCACAACTACTGAAGCCCACACACCTAGAGCCCGTGCTCCGCAACAAGAGAAGCCACAACAATGAGAAGCCCGCGCACCGCAAGGAAGAGTAGACCCACTTGCCTCAACTAGAAAAAGACCGCACGCAGCGATGAAGACCCAGTGCAGCCAAAAAATAATTAAAAAAAAAAAAATCTCAAAATGAATTTTCATGATCAGGGATTTAAAGCTCTCCCTTCCTCCCTGAAAATAAGTGATGCTAAAATTTAAGTCTGTAAAAATTAAGTCACAGTGGAGCTTTAATTAGTGCATAATGTTCTGCTCAGAATGCAGTGACCAGACCACGTGAGGTCTACTTGAAGGTAAAGAGCAAGCCAAACAAAAAGAGAACTGTACTACAGCTTTATGATAGCCGGCAAATCACGGAGCTTCTAGCCCTCAGATCTGGCTTGGTGCCAATCTAAATTCATCTTTTAAATAAGCTAGTCAAAAACATTAAAAGTTTAAGCCTTATTCTGTAAAAGATTTTCATTGCTAAAGAAGGCTCTACATAAAAGTTTAAAATTAACCTTCTATGACATTGGACTCTAAAAGTGCCTACTAAATAAGCCTCACAGTAGATAAAAATCTCCTTAAATAAAGCTAAGCAGAGTCACAAAGAACTCAGGAATTTGTGGTAGCTGATACCATCTCTCCTGCAATTGGTTCTAACATTTACATTTCCTAAAGAGAAAATATCCATAAATAATGTGTCTGTCACAATTGGAAATTTATTACTTAAATACTATGTCCCGTTTGATAGTCTTTTCTTTCAACATACTGGATCAATTAAAACTGGAACAGAGACACCCAAATTCTAATTAAGGACTTTCCTTTAACTATTATTCACCATGCATTTATTTCACAAAGGAAAAAACAAAAAACCAGTCTCCAGTCCTTCTCAATGGGTAAACAGTACTAACTCTTCTTGATCTCATTTCTTTACAACTTCCTGCACATCAATGTTAAAGGTATTAACTCAAATACTTGAGAGAAATACTCCATCATGGACAAGTTTTTATTAGCGACAAAACGCAGTATTTTTTGCTTTTAGTATATAAATATCAGAAAAAACTTAGAGTCCGGTCCTATGTACCAGAAGGGTTACTAAACCCCAAAGAGAAAAGGGCTGCAGACCAGAATGAGGTGAGCTTTGGGTAACCTGTGACAGAGCTGTCTGAGGTTAGGAGGGCAGGGATGGGCTCTGATCTGAACAGAGAGACCGCCAAGATCAGGGAGCTCTGCCTCTCCTTACAAGGAGAGAACGACTAAGTCCCTGAGAAGGGAACAGGCTTGCACAGTGAGGAAGTTGTCACAGTGAGGGATGTTTGAGACCCAAAGCAGGTGAGACAGATGGTAGAAGACAGGGACTTGTGGCCTGGGTAGCAGCTTTGACTGCAGTTAAAAGGTTCAGTAGAGATCCGAAGGGATGCTAACCAAACTCGCCGCAGCCTTGCGATGAAGTAAGAAAGGGAATGGAAGGGGACCACGATTTGAGGTTCTAGTTCTAGGCAATAAGAACGTCTGTTTCTAAAAACATATACACTTTACACTTGAAATATTTTAGGACTAGGGGTAAACTAGAGGACTTCTCATTCATTCTTTCAAATCTTTTATTGGACACTCAATATATGTTTGATTCATTGCTAGACTTGGGATACATTAAGGACAGGAGAGTTCTCTCTGCAAACAATGACACCCCACACCCCAGCCTGCTCCACATCCCCCTCCCCCTCTTCTTCCTCCTCAGTTTAGTCACTGTGAAATGACTTTAGTCAGGGCCAACCTAATACTCATTTGTTCAGGCACTGAACCAACATTTACTGAGCAGTACTTTCCAGGCACTAAGCAAGGCACTGGGGATAAAAATGAGTAAGACACAACCTCTACACACTGAAGGATCTCTTAGTGTAGTGGAGAGGCACACAAATAAAGTTACAACACAATATAACAAGTACTGTAGAGGGAGGCTTGCCCAGAGACAGCCTAACTGGTAGGTGAGTGGCAATGATAGAGTCAAGTTCGAACAGCCTTACGGATACCCTCCTCATGGACACCTCTGAAGATCTTTACAAACCCCATACACCAGCACAAATCCATGATAAGCAGAAATAAAACCTAGCTGAGACCACCTTGGATTGTTGGGCTTGAGGTACTCACAAGTTAAGTGACTTCTACTACTGGCCTGAAAGGTAAAATTGAAATTCATGGATTTGTTAATTAGGGATCAGTAAAGACCTTACCCAAAGTAGTCTGGGGTCATCTTAATTACCCAATAAACATCCTTTATTATTTAAGCCTATTTGAGGTAAGTCTTGTAGAAAACATCGTATATATTGTTTAAAATAAACAGGCACCTATTCTACTGTCTATACAGGCCTTAAGACCACAGGGTAATCTATTAATATATAACCAGTGGGATCTGCAGCACCCCAAAACCCAACACTTTAATATATCTGCAGGAAAGCTATGATTGTTCATACCAAGTGGGATAAAAAAGAGCTGTAAAGAGCAACACATCTGTTCAGGTCAGGTTTTACCACCAAATGTGTTAAAAAAAAAACTTTTGGTTTTCAGATATTTTAGAGTTTTGATTGTAGATATGGGACTGTGAACCTTCTGGAAAAGTATAGGATGATCCTGACAAGTGAAATTGTGCCCCAAAGAGTTAACAGAAGTTGATAACTAAGAGAAAGTCTTGAACTTGTCTTACAGAACAACAGATAAGGGAACAGCTTGTTAAAAACCCTTTGCTCGTAAACTGCTTTCATTGATTAAGTTCGCCTTAGTTTTTTTCTTTCTCTTTTTGCCTCTTCTATAACTGCAGGCCTTCCCAGCTTTCACACAGCCCCAGTTGTTTTAAAGGAACTTGGAGTCTGCTCCCGCCCAGTGTAAGCTGGCTGGGGGCTGCATGGGACAACTGACCCTAAAACTGGGGCTGCACAGATGTTCAGTAAATGGCCTTTTAACATCAGAGGGCCAGAAAACTCTACCCTCAGACCAAGCTAAGCGACTCTAGTTTGAATATGAAGAAGCATGTAACCCAAATGTGCCTATGCAGAACAAGGATTACCTCACCTTTTCTCTGCCTTTAATCACCTTTCTCTATGCCTAAGACCACTCTTGCTTATCCCATAAATACCCCAACCTCCTTGCCTTCAGGGAGGTGGACCTGAGACTTGTTCTTCCATCTCCTCGCTTGGCTGCCTTATGAATAAACTCTTGGCTGTAAACCAACCCGAGTCTCAGTGTTTGGCTTGTGGCATCTTGGGCAAACAGACCTGGTTCAGTAACACAAGTATTATTCTGGTATTTACATATTTAGGCACCATATTAACCTCTGCACATAAATGAGTTCTGAAAGCTAATTTCAAAAAAAAAATCACAGGGGAAAAAGGTTGGGTGCTACCACTTTCAGAAGTTGACTTTATAAAAATTGGCCCTGTTCGTTAAGACAATTCAGGCCAACATAGATGCATGCCCAGGAGTTCCCAATTACTGAGTACTTATGATATGTGTTGCCAAGGGCTTCACATATTTTTTCTCTTAAGTATCCCTGAGCTCTCTTACAGAAGCTATTACTCCCATTTTCAGAAAGGCAAAATGGCTTTCCCACCTAGAGACCTGGCCAGAAGCAGAGCCAGGAACTGATCCAGGTCTTTTAATTCCAGAGTCTATGCTCCTAACCCTAGCCACAATGCCTCCCATTCTGTGCTGCTACTAAGTCAATCTGAAGTAACTTTCTACGGCATTGAAAGCACGTTAAGACCACTGGACTATTGGCCCTCCCACCCCTTTCCTATGGTCGGCCTACAGCCAGCATGTGTGTATGTGCAAGCACACAAAGAAACAACACATTCACACACACAGTAATAGTGCACAATAAAACTCTTTAAAAAGGTTTATTTTGGATATAGCTTTTCAGTGAGAAATCCCAAGAGGAAACAGATGACTGCTCTATACAATGGAGTATGATTCAGCAATAAAAAAATGAATTACCAAAGTATACCACAACATGGATGAACCTCAAAAACATTCCAAGTGATAGAAGCCAGACACAAAAGATCACACATTGTATGATCCCATTTATATGAAATGTCTAGAGACAGAAAGTAGATTAGTGGTTGCCTAGCATGAGGTGCAGGAGGAAGGGGTGACTGTTAATGGGTATGGGGTTTCTTCTTCAGATAATGAAAACGTTATAAAATTAGCTTATGGTTTTGGCTGTACACTTTCT